TTACAAAAATAGTCGAATTGACATAATTTTGTGTTCTTCTCAAGTCATTCATATGTGATCAATCGAGGATTACAATCATTCAGATTACCAAAGTGACGAATCATTACAATTGAGAGTATCATTGCTCTGTTATCGAATAATTGTGCTACATCTTGAATAGTTTCACGACAAAGTGTCATTGTTTTCAAACGATTCAACGAACGCCAAAATGAATCGATCTGGATGGATATTAATGGTTCTGATGGAAATCGATAACTACTAATAATATTGACACTGACAATTTTAGGCCATTTACGATCAAAAAGGAAGAGGAGAGTCGTTACAGGTAAGTTGAGTGAGCGTAGTTGTGGTAAATTATGCAGTATTCGTACAAAGTCATTGCTTGGTGTTTCAATATCCGATCGATTACAAGAAAAATTAGTTATATGTGATAAATCAAGACGTGTAGCGATGTATTCGAACACGGTATTCAGATTCTCTTTAATAACTAAGTAATCAAGACGAGTGAATCGAGTTCAAAGTACATCGTCCATTTCTGATATATTGTTCATCGAGAGATAGTTGACATACGGACAAGTCGTAGGCTCCAATCCAGTTGATTCTGTTACAAGTCTTGCCATTACATATGAAGATTGATTTCAATGTGTACCACAGTACGGGTTTGTATAGAGAAGTGATGTGTAAGACTGGTCCCATCGATCATAGGTAACATACCATTTCTTCTCTACGAGCCAGAATTGAGTGCGAAATGAATCAAGACTGATAATACTAAATAAGAACTTGAATACAACTAATTTTCTTAATATTGGTATCCAAGCATTGCCATCTGTCATATCACTGAGAACACCATGAATATGAAGAGTAAGATACGTGAGACAAGTCATCGATGAGAGCAAACGTTTTATTTTGAGCATGGTTAAATGTTTGATGTTGATCGATAATTGTCGTAAATTCATAGGCGATTGAAGAAGTATGTCATGACGAAAAATTCGATCAACTAATACATTGAGTTTGCTTATCATTGGTACCACTGGAAAAAGCTCATGCAAGTTAACTTGAATGCTTTCTAGTGTGAGAGATTCCAAGTTCGATGCTTGTATTGAAGATGCAGACGTAATGTTTATGATAGCCGTCGAGAAACCAGGCGATGTATTGAGATAGAGATGTGTGAATGATCGAATACCGAATAGGAGATCGTTGAAAATGAGTGATATCAAGGCAGTTGTCGAACTTTCACTATCATAAACAGAACTGATAGACATTGAGCTCAGTGATACGAACCATGGGAGTCGAATTCTAATCGAGCCCCATGCACTTGAATAGATACAATGGAGACTGATCGAATAGAAATTTAGAAATGTGTCATTGGAAGTAATTGAACGTGAAAAAACTTGTATCTTACGGTTTACTAATATACCATCGTCAAATGTCAATAAGACAATGCGAGACGCAAAGTCTGGCAATTGATTACAAAATAAATCGAATTGATTCTTCTTTTTGGCTATCAAATTGAAGTCGAATTGAAAACGAGAATAGAAGAGCGATACGGAACGAAGTCGTTTGTTGACAAAAGATACAGAGGAGAGAATATCAAAAGTGGTGATATTGTCAAAAATATTGTCAATCAATTCGACAGGCAATGTACTCAGATAATCCGACATATTTTCCGTGTTCGTTCAGGAAATGTTGCTATTTATCATCGAATTCAACAATGACCATCGAACTTGCTGGTATGACCAGCTAATCGACAATTTTCACGGGAGAATAATCAACCGAGGTCATCGGTACTAAGATAAAGGAAATGTATCTGCTTATATTCTTCTAATGCTCTGATTGGTTCACTATTTTCTCTATCGAGTTTTTTTTATTCGTTTGTGTGTCTGATTGCTTTCTATGCGCCGTAGTTCTGTTGTTTTGTC